TTTCCAAATTTGGCCATGAAGGATACTGACATATCAATATTCTAGCATGAGTTTTTCCAAGGAAAGTTTTGAGTGTCAATTTTGTTGATTTTTTCGGAGCCAATGATTGCGCGTGCGCCCTCTGTATAAGGTTTTGAAAATCAATATTTTTTCCCTGCAAATGTAGACGGTTTTTTTTGCGAATATTGATGGAGTTGGGACTTCATAAAAAGTTCTTTCCTCAACAATCAATAATTTTCCGCCCTGCACTATAAATCAGTTTGTTTACAATATCGATTTTATTGATTTTTTCCAACTACAGCATCCTCATAGAAGATTTTTGGAGGAAAATCGGTGAATTTTTCCTTGAATAATTTTTTGATAACACTTATAATTCCAGTATGATTCTCGTGGACGTCTTCGTGAAATAACGACACCAGCAGCAGAAACCCATTATTTTTCTGCAACCCCCTTTGGAAGTGGATTAGTGATCAAAAGAAGGCGAGTTTGACACTTTCCACAAAATCAATATATCGATCGATGACGAGTTTCTAACAATATCAAATTTAGGATACCATTTACCAAGAAAGCCTTTGTAGCGGCTGAGGATAGCGATGAAAAACTGCTGGAATGGGTGACCGCAGATGAACAACATCATGTTCTTCGAGAATACGATCAATATGGACGAGTTGTCAGGGTAAGCTAGAATTGGGCAGATATTTCGGCAAAAAATGTTATTGATTGATTCTAGGAAATGTGTGATGGAAGCACTACCAAATATGTCTATCAAGCTGATCATGCTGTCGCTGTCACGTCACCTGAGCATATAGTGAATCTCACATGGCAGGGACCACTTCTTGTATCATCCAGCGAGCGTAGAATGTCGAAAAAGGGGTAGGTAGTTGATTTGCTTTTGAACTAAATGATGGGGCATAAAATTATTGATTTATTGATTGCAGATGGCGTGATTCATCGTTTGCCATAGAACATGACGAATTGCTTAGACCGACGTCCATTCAAGCTGTAATAGCTGGTACAGCCGTGGAACCTATACAGGTAAGTCGCTGGGATCTGGAATTTGCAGCGGCGCCTGTAGATTACGGTAGATTAACAGTATGATGCGCAATCCAGGCGAGGGTAACATTTTACCCCCCCCCC